TAGTGCTCTTAGAGAAGCAAAGAAAGGGAGGTCATTCAATTTACAATCACAAAGGGAGCAGGTATCTCCTGTTGCAGTTATGTTTTCGGAAATAAATGCTAAAATTCACAACTTTTAGATGGACCTTCATTATTAGGTTTTGAGAATCTAAAAAATGTCTGATGGAATATTTGTTACTAATTTTGATAAGGCTATGCATTTGGCAGCATCCAATAAGTTCAATCCAGAGCGAAGAAGATGAAGATCATTCCCAGTTTTCTGATCATCAGTACTACAGACAGGATAGATCATACAATGAGGCATCTTTAGTCAAAGGTTCTTCAAGGATCTCCAACTCTAAGAAGGTTTTGCCTAATAGAAATGTGTCTTTATCCACTCCTCGCACCACAGCAGTCGCAGTTCCACGGTCAGCAGCCAAAGATTCAAATCCCAGTTCTGGAAGGCGAAGAACACAATCTGAAAATCCTCTTGCACAATCAGTTCCCACCTTTTCTGATCTCAGAAAAGAAAAGAAAAAGCTCTCTTCTGGAGCTGGCAAGATGAACAACCATTTCCAAGTGAGAAAATATGCTCGGAGCAAGAGTAACAATGAAGAGATTTCTCTTGGCAAGGATGAACAGTCTCGGCGGTCTCAGTCCAATAAGAAAAGCTCTGGTCATTTGGAATTTTCAGATGTGCCTGCCTTGAATTCTGATGACATTGTTTTGGCACCTATGAAATTTAATAAAAAACAGACTGAGCAGAGCTTCAATGACGAATCTTTGAAGAATGTGAAAGCAAAGCCTTTCCTCCAGAAAGGTGATGATGTAGGTTCTGGTGCTGGGATTTATATTGCAAATTTAAGAGAATCAGAGGCACCTGAGACTCCAAATGGTGAAGAGTTCGATGAACTAGCATTTGAGGCTGATGATTCCATGGATATTTCCAAAGCAGACGAAGGGCCAGAGCTTGAAACTATGGTTGATGATTCTGTTGACATGGAAAATGGAAAATCGAGACTGAGCCAGGAATCTGACAAATTGGATAACTTTGGATCCGAGAACGGTGATTCCTTGAGGTCTCTTTCTCAGGTTGACCCTACATTGGTTGCTGAACTGCCTGCTGCAATGCTCACTACATTCCATACTGCAGTATCCCTGCAGGAATCATCACGAGAAAGCCCTGTGTCCTGGAATTCTGGCATGCACCATCTGTATTCTTATCCCCAAGAGACTTCGGAAATTGATGCCTCCATGGTTTCCCCAATCAGAAGCCTTGATTCTTGGAATCCTCACTCACTTTCTCAAACAGGAGCGGATGCTGCTCGAACGAGGAAGAAATGGGGAAGTGCTCAGAAACCATTTCTTGTTGCTAATGCAAACCATAACCAGCCACGGAAGGACGTGACAAAAGGGTTCAAAAGATTGTTGAAATTTGGACGAAAAGGCCGTGGGACAGACAATTTGGTAGACTGGATATCTGCTACAACTTCTGAAGGAGACGATGACACAGAGGATGGCAGAGATTCTGCAAGTCGATCACATGAAGACTTGAGGAAGTCAAGAATGGGATTTTCGCAGGGCCACCCTTCTTTATGATGGCTTCAATGAAGGTGAATTGTTCAATGATCACGATAATTCCCATTTTCCCCTTATACTTTAATTACCTTGTCCTACTTGCTTAATGTATTCAAGATTCTTTTTCTGTTAATTATTTTGAATATTCATTGATTGCATGCATGGTTCAATAATTATTATTCTAATAAAATATCACTTCAGACTTTATACTTTTATAGAATATCTTCCCTTTCTCGTAAAGCTATAGCTTAGGCTTTTATGCCCTCTTCAGCTGTAGAAGAGTACGTATTGATGAACACAATTGTTTTAGCTCACTGGATTGTATTCTAGAAGTTACTTTATCAAAATTTAGTTCGACTCAAAATTGCTCTGGACTTTCTACTTCCATAGAGTAGCTTGATGGTGCTTTCTTCTTTTCCTTGTTGCATATATGAACCCAATAAAGTAGTTTCATTAATGGCCCCTTGCAGTTCAATCCTTATGTACTTCCATTCCAGCAGCACCTGTGAACTTCAGATTAAGGGAAGATCATATGTCAGGAAGCTCCATAAAAGGTGACACCTTATTAATGTTAATCTAGTTTTCAGATATTTCTCTTTCTTGGAAGTAATTTATGTCGAACAATTCCCATCCCTCTCATTGCGCTGTGAATCTATTTCCCAAAAAGCTCATATGTAATGAAGCCGAGATATTTGTAGTTATTTCAAAACATTTTTTGAAAGTCGATACCATTGGACCACACCTCTGCCAACATACTGAACGATCTGTTATGCATATCCAGAAGAAGCTTTTGATTTGGTTCTCGACTCTGTTGAATTCATGGTCTGTATTTGTAATGGCATACTTGACTAATTTTGCAGCACCACGTTCATTCTTTTCACTCTCATCATTCCGAAGCAAGGGTAGCGAGAACAAGCCTAGATAAAAATCCCATCTTGAGGAAGTCCAAGACAATTGCTTGGAATCATCTTAGAAAGTAGGGTATAAGCGAATATATGTACAAGATACAGACTTTGTAAATTTTCATGGAGTTGTTCATAATCTCGTAAGTTTGTATTGCTGTATATCGGTGTCGACTATGGCATAGTCATGTAATTTTGGTAGTCCAGACTCCAGAGCCGGAGGCATTCTTTTTGTCCTTATTAATTTGCTATTTGCGATGTATATGTATATCAAACATTGAACACTCTTAATCAATAGTTGTTGACACTACGGAGTAAAGCAAAACCAGTTTTATCATAGAAGATGGACATAATTCAGATTCGAACTTCCTGGCATTATTGTGTTCAATTTTGTTTTAAGTGATGGCATGAGTCGTGTGCATGGACAACGTTGCAAAATAAGCTAAGGAGTTGGGAAAAAGAAAGTTCATTTTCATAATTATATAAACAACTACGCATCCTCAATTTGTCTCTTTGCCTTCTTTCTCCATTCCTTTCTCCCTCTTGGCCACTGCCTTCGCTGACCCTACCCTGTAATGGTTGGCACTAGGGCAGGCTTTCCTTCTTCAACCCATTTCATGGCTTTGATTCCTTTATCAGCATCGAATCGGACTGCTTCATCAACCTTTTATTTGAATCGAAAAACAACTAATTTTTGTATAATCCGTTCAATTAGGTATTAAAACACAAAAAATCAAATCCAATTATTTAACACTCATCCCAAGATGAATTCAACCCAGCGTAACTCTGAAAAAGCCTAGATCATAAAAACAACGCCTCTTCTAATTTTCAACTTATTTTCCTTTTCTAGTAAAAAATAATCCATATATATATAGGGTAAAATATATAAATAGTCTCCAAACTTTTAGGGAACTTGCATTTTAGTCATCCAACTTTTAAAAATTACAATACAGTCACTAAATTTTTAGTTCAGCAAGATACCTACATTACATCCTATTAGTTTTATATGAAGTGGCCTTACCTGCCGTTAACCCCTCCCGTTAACCCCCTTCTTCTCATGTATGCCATTGTTTTGTGCATAAACATTTAACATTGGAGAAAAATGAAATGGGTATTTCTTGGTTTTGAAGAAAAAAATCTGAATTTTGAGTAATTTGGTTCACTAGAGCTTCAGTTTGTGTGTAAACAAGTTAAAGGAGTAAAGAACTGAAGTGGGTATCACTAGATTTTGAGCAAAGAGAAAATTTTGGTTCAATAGGAGTTGTTCTTGGTGTTGAAATAGGTGTGCATAAACAGTTAACGTTGGAGAAAAATGAAGTGGGTGTTTCCTGATTTTGAAGAAAAAAAGTCAGAATTTTGTGTAATTTGGTTCACTGGAGCTTTAGTTTGCGCGTAAACAAGTTAAAGGATTAAAGAACTGAAGTGGATATCACTAGATTTTGTGCAAAGAGAAAATTTTGGTTCAATAGGGGTCGTTCCTGGTGTTGAAATCGGGGACATTTTCTTCTTCCTGTTGGAGTTGTGCTCAGTGGGGTTGCATGCTCAGTCCATGGATGGGATTGACCCCATGCCTATGAAGGGTGATTTAGAGGGGGAGCGAGTGGTTGTGAACATCGTTTCAGCCTGAGGGTATGGTGATGATGTCGAAGATCCTAATGTTTTGGAATACACAGTCATGGTGGGAATGCCAGTGGAGATAAAGAAGCATCCAATCAGAAGCTTGTAGGGGCAATCTTACTTTGGAAAGGAGCTTGCATCGAGCCAATGAAGTAAGAGTCATTCGAGGTTTTCAGGAAGAAGAAGAAGAAGCCCCAACTGTTGTTATCTCTGTCTTTCACTTCATCAAATCCCAAAGGTATATTTCTTTCTCTTGGCTTTTTTTCTGGGGTTCTTTATCTCTTTTGTTCTATCTAATATGTGTATCTTTCAGCACAGTTTATGGACTATGTTCCCCCTTTCTTTTTGGTTGTTTAATATGAAATTTGTTGGGTTTTTTTTTCCTGTTAAAGATTTTGTTGTTTCTATAATATTATGATCTTTGAATATGCATCGATTTAAAGATTCTAAGGGTGGGATGGAACAATTTGATTTTATAATGTGAATCATACACCAACTGTTGCTTTTTACTTGGTTACTAGCTTTCAATAGTCTCCTCATCCTCCTCTAGCATAACAGGGAATCAATGCTCATTATTTGAAGTTGTTGCATTTTGATAAGTGTAAATGGAATGTTTCTTTAATAAGTTCTATTATGATTCTCATATATAGTTTCTTGTTTTATGATTGAAGAAGTTTTGAAGAGGAAGAAGAAGTCTTGAAGAAGGAGGAGGAGGAGGGGGGTTAACAGGAAGGGTTAACCGCATGTAAGTGTCACGTCATATAAAATTAATAAGAGGTAAATTACGAGAGTTTACTGAAAATGAATTAAAAATTTAGTGACTGTATTATAATTTTTAAAAGTTAGGTGATCAAAATACAAACATCTTAAAAGTTCAGAAACTATTTATATACTTTACCCTTATATGTATACCTCTATCTTTCTCTCTCCTTTCATTTTCGCCAATTAAACGGACTTGTCGGACCATAGACTCTTACTTCTGCTTCAGATCGTTGAACTCGAGAAGAAATCCAAAGATCCTTCATTCTATAATTTGGTACTCCTATAACACCGATTCTTTTTGTTCATCAATTCTGAATATGCTTATAATTTTTTTTAAAGAAACCGTTCGTTTTCTTCAACTGAATTTTGGAATTCCAGAAAACAAATATATTTATTTTAGATCGTGACGGTATTGATTAGATGGGTTGTCTTTGGTCGCATTACTGTCCTTTTTTTCATTAGAAACGAAAATTTGGCTTGATATTGCTTTTGATCGATTACGAGAGTTTAGTGAATATTGGGATTATTGAATCAGGTTATGCTTTTTATTTGGTTAATTTTCATGGGTTGAAATGATGGGACTGAAGATTGTTGTATTGTCATCATTGTGGTGGCTAGTTGTACTGTTAAGATTTGCGAACCAAATCATCAACATATAGTCAATTAGTGTTTAGCTGCATCTGTATGTATGTGTTTTTAACGAAATTTGAATATTATATTATGTAATTTGGGTTTTACTTTTGACTTACATTTTATTTTTTAATGTCTAATCGGGTGTTAATTTTGCTTCTATATTAGTTTGAAAAGATCTTTCGTAGTTGAGAAACAGGGGAGTAAAGATGGTAAAGATGACGATGATTGCTCGGGTTACTGATGGTCTTCCTCTGGCTGAGGGATTAGATGATGGTCGTGATCTAGCAGATGCTGAAACGTACAAACAACAAGTTAAGGCTTTATTTAAGAATCTATCCAAAGGCCATAATGAGGCTTCAAGGATGTCTATTGAAACCGGCCCATACATATTCCAGTATCCTCTTCATCGTGTCAATTTTTCAGATATATTTTGAGTTATTCAATTAGGCTTGTTTTTGCATGGTTTTTTGGTATTATTTGCAATTGCATCTAAGTTTTACTGTTACCGTTGACCTAAGTTCCTAGCTATATCATTGAAGGGCGTGTTTGTTACTTGACGATGTGCGACCGTGCTTATCCTAAGAAACTTGCATTTCAATATCTGGAAGACCTCAAGAATGAATTTGAGCGTGTTAATGGAGCTCAAATTGAAACAGCTGCCAGGCCTTATGCCTTTATTAAATTTGGTAAGCTTATTTTCCATATTGTTTGACTTTTCTGTTTTTTTTATCCGACTAAGCAACTAGTATTTCTTCTACTTTGTTTTGTTACTTTTTGCTGCTCCTCATTCTAGTCTTGATTTTATCTTCTCTTTTTTTTTTTCTTTTTCTTTAAGATACATTCATACAGAAGACAAAAAAATCTTTCCTGGACACTCGTACTCAACGAAATATTGCGAAGTTGAATGATGAACTCTATGAAGTTCACCAAATAATGACTCGTAACGTACAAGAAGTTCTTGGTGTTGGTGAAAAGTTGGACCGTAAATTCAGAATTATTTTAGGGTATTATATTATTTTTTATTTGATAATTAATTGAACTTTTTGTTTGAGCCAATGCACCCTGGTGAATGCTGAATTTTACAATCATGAGTTAAGTAATTGTGGTTTTACTAATTTAATGCATCTTTTTGTATTGCGTTTGCATATACGGGTTAAATGGGTGAAAAGAACATGTAGGTGAGGCCAGCCTGTTGCTTCTAAATCTGCTTCTGCTGCATGCTTTAAATTTTATAAATTACCCTTAATTGGTAATACACGTTTGAACATTGTTGGATAACTGGATGATTTTGGTATCTCTCTCTCTCTCTCTCTCTCTCTCTCTCTCTATATATATATATATATATATATATATATATATTGTGTGTGTTTAAAGTAAATTCCATTTTCCTTGTGTCAGTTCATGTGCAGGTTTTGTAATTTTTGTTCTTTTTTATAGCTATTCATAAGATGTTGATGTACAATAGTCATACTAAAGCCTGCTTTACTTATCTTTGCTTCTCATTGAATGTTTTTGGAGTTGTATATCTGTTCACATTAATGCCAATTAACATTAAGGAACTCGACTTGGTTTTGTTCTTTACTAGCAATTGGCATGTAATACGATGTCAGAGTTAATTATGGTTACACCTTGTAGCCGCCTTAGGTTACTTGTATGTATTGTCTTCAATTTGAAGTCACCTAATAGTTTTCTTCTTTACGGATGGTTCAATATGATGTATTCTATCCTTTTTTTCTTCACTGGCTGATAGATTGCATTTTTGTTCAACTAAGTATGCATTTAACTTATTCTTTTTTTGTGGATGACACAGAGGTCAGCCAAATGTCCAGTCGTTTGACATCAGAATCTCGTATATATGCTGACAAGGCAAGAGATTTAAATAGGCATGTTAGTTTTCTTTATATGGAGGTATCTCTCTCTCCCTTCCACTCCAACCTTTTTTCTGTTAGATTTAGGTTTTACCTTTGACATTTTGTTCAAGATACTTAAGCTGTGCTGCAAAGTTATGTTCTTGGTGGAAAACATTGGCAACTGATAGATTAGTGTCACAATGATTCTTCGAGCCGGACTGGTATCTCTGGATTAAAAAGGAGGAAAATAATTGTCTGCATTGGTAAATTTAGTGAATCTATTAGTCTGAGTTTTGTGCTTTATTGGTAGGCAAAAAATACAAACTTGAGGTAGTTACAGAAGTATTTCTTTGTTAAAATCCATTGTGAAGTTTGAATGTGCCCTCCCATAAAAGAATCATAACGGGGAATGGGTTTAGCACATAATTGTGATAGATCACACAGTTTTAGTGAAGTTTCAAATTAAGTACCATGGATAAAAGATGTTTTGACTTTGCTGATTAATATATGTTCAATCTGGATGCCCATTTTCTTTTGAAATGAAGTCTCTTGAACAAGAGCTGAAATCAGTTTTCAATGTGTTTGTGGTGGCTGGATATATCTTATAGCAATTATTATTGTCAGCATTTCTGAAGTTTGATAGTTTGTTATATGTTTTCTTTTGCCTGTAGGCTTTGATACGTAAGTGGGCTCCTGTTGCCATTGTGTTGTGAGTTGTCTTCCTCCTCTTCTGGGTGAAAAAAAAGTTATGGTGATTCAATCGCGCCCTTTATATTAAGAACTCATCAGAATTCCTGGGGTTTTTCCGTTGCTTTGAGTAGCTTCTCGCCACCCTCAGACCCGAACAGTAGTGAATTCTGGTTTTTGTTCATCACACAATTCAACGTGAAGTTGTAGGTACAAATTTGTAATGTGGAATTGTGATAGAGAGACCTTAGATTTAGAGCAAATGTTCAAAACAAAACTATTCTTTATGTATGTTTTTTTTCTTTTGAAAAGAAAATCAGACCTCGGTAAGAATTCCCTCTTACCTCGATTGAGCCGAGACATAGTCAAGACAACAGAAGGGGAAAAGAGTGCCCAAAAGTTTTATTCATCGACACCAAATCACACAGAGGAACCAATGTTCGATACAAATGTTCGGAAAAAAAAAGAAAGAAAGAAAGAAAGAAAGAAACAACCCGAACTTATTCAACTGCCAACCCACAAGCTAAAGCCCACAAATAGCAAATGCCAAGGAATCTGCCATAACTGCCAACACACAATCTAAAGCCAGAATAGAGCATCCAAATAGTAAACTTGAAAGGTATTAACCTATTCTAGTGTTTCACTTTCTCCAAGTTTTTGTTAGATCGTTAACGTCTGAGTCACCACTAGTTTGGACTTGGTGGCTTCAACTACAGGCTACAGCAGAAACTCATGCCTGTTTGTGCTGTTGATAGAGAAGAAAAACTCAGCCTTATCTTACCTTAATTGCTGATTTGACTATTTGAGTGTGGGATTGACTAGCTTAATTGCTGCAATAGCTTCCACAGCATCTATAACTCCCTTAAGTCGTGACTGGCTAATTATTTAAAGCTAAAATGAGCCAATTAGTAGTAGTAATTTTTGCATTAGGATTGTCGACAAAAGCAACGGATGCTACGCAGAAGAAAACAAGGGTTTGTCCAGTTTGTTCATTTAGTCACGGTAAAGACTTTGTACGAAAACGAAAGATATCTTTTATTAATTCAATTCTAAATTTAAATTAATTTTTTTAAAAAATAGATATCTTTAGTGAAAATATGTGTTAAAGTATTAAAATTTTAATGATATTATTGTACCATTCTATATGACAACCTATGATGAAGAAAGGTGGGAATTATTGTTTAAAATGTTACGATTCATGATAAACATATGGCCATGGAAAGCTTCATTTTTCACTGTTTTAAGGGTATTAATTATTTGTCATGTTAATGTAGAAAAAAAGCACGAGTAGGGCTGTAAAATCATATAATCTTTCAGGTTTCAATCGGATTCTGTCAGATCAGGTCAAATCGGATATATGTTGAGTCAGTTTAATTTAATGGTTCGGCTTGGATTAGGTTGAGTCAAGGTCAAATCAGTTTGGGTCATTTTCAAGTTGATTTGATATCAGATTTAATTCGGATTCATGTTGGGTTAATTTCATTTCGGATCGATGTTAGTTCATGTCAAAACAGTTCAGGTCCAAAGCAGCTAAATACCAGGTTAATTCAGATTCGGATGGATTCCAGTTTGATATCGTTCAGATCGGGTCACATCATTGACAGACAAAATTCAGGTCGAATCTTATCGTATATGGATTGCCTTCAAGTCGGATCATTTTTGGGTTAGTTATTTTTAGCCTTTTAATGTTTCATGAACGTGAGAACAACGAATTGTAATATGTAATTGTATATGATTTAGAATAAATTACAAAAAATATAAATAATTATGGGTCAATTTTGATAAAAATATAATTTAAAGTACTAAATTGAACAAACATGAAATTAGAAACAAAACTTTAAATAAATTAAACAACACACATTGATGAGGGATCAAATCGAATTAATTATAAAATGTGGAGTTGAAATTAATATAAAAATATACTAAATTGCATACATTTAAAAGGTTGGTGAACAAAAGTTTATAGAATTTGAAATGAAATTTATTATGTGATTTATAAAGTTTGAAGTAAATTACAAAAATATAAATAAATATGGGTCAATTTCAGATACAAATATAATTTTAAGATTAAATTGAACAAATATGATATTACAAAATAAAATTTAAATAAATTAAACAACATAAAAAATCAAATCAAAATAAATGTAAAATGTGAAGAAAAAAATTATAAAATAGATTGAATTACATTAACCTCAGCGACCAAAAATACCTTATAATATACAAATTTAACCAACTTTTTTTGGATTTACCAGAATGACCAACAAATTCGCAACACGAATTCCAATTTCGCAACCCAATTTTCAATTTCGCAACGCGAATATGGAAATATGTGCGATTTTCCAAATTCGCGTTGCGATATTCCAAATTCGCAACGCGATAGTCAAATTCTCAACGCGATAGTCAAATTCGCAACGCGATAGTCAAATTCACAACTGAATTTCAAATTCGCAACGCGAATTTAATTTCGCAACATGTTTTAGTTTCGCAACACAAATGTTTTGGGTATATAACAACGCAGCAGCAACAACTCATAACTTAAATCCCTAAATCGCAACTCATTCCATCTCCATCTATCACTCTCTCCGGCGATATCCGTTCCTATATCCAACGACATCCTTCCCCATCTATATTTTTTTTACATAATTTTATTTCTATATAATTTTTCAATAATTTCTCTCCCAATCTATCAACTATCAACTTAATAAAAGTATGTTTTTCTCTAAGTTAGTGATGATATCTAGTTTATAGCTCGTTTGTTTAGTAAATTAATTTACAATTTTTAGAATGAAATCATCTAATGTTAATCATGTTTGGATAGATTTGTGTTTTGGAGGGTCATGGGAGAATGTTCATGGTGTTTTACAATATGTGCCTTTACCCATGAATCTTCAACTAAAACTGTCATTAAAAAAGTTAACTTATGAAACTCTAATGTTACGTGTTGCAAATAAATTGAATTTAGAGCCTCTAAGTGGATTTAGGCTATCTTATCTGAGAAAATGTAAAGTTTATTTGTTAACCGACAATGAAGATGTTGAATAATTCATTGCTTACATTAGTGTTTCGCAAGAAGATGATGTTACATTATATGTTGTTGAACCTAGAAGTAGTGAAGTTGGGTCAGTAGCGGGTAGTAATCAACTAAGTTCTTCAACCCAAAATTTAATGGTTCCACCACAATTTTATCACCAAGCAAATTTTGTTTCACCACATTTCCAATACCAAACACAATATCAAACACAATCTCAAAACTCACAACCTTTTCCTAATCCAAATCCCAATCAACTTTCAGCACCAAATTCCGGTTTTCGTATTGACCAGTTAGACGATTATGAGCCAACAGAAAAAATTGTAAGTACTATTCAGTATACAAAATTTGATCTTGGTCAATACCCTAACTTTGATCTTGATCAATACTCAGATTTTGATGATGTGATGGAAGAAGAAACAGACCCTGCATGTAATGATTTTGATATTGGTCAAAATCTGAATTTTGATGATGAAACAACCGCTGCTGAGGAAGATGTTGTTGATGATAATGAGGAGGAAGTTACGACTGTGAATGAACATGTTGAACATCCATTCTGTAATTCATATAACCCTGAAGAAGAAAAAGAAGAAGAAAAAGTCCCTAAAAAAAGGAAAAAGAAGAAAATGCCACAGGAGTATAACTGGAATATACCAGAATTACTTCAGATACCGGAAGAAGAGTTGGTAAAGATATCAGTTGATTGTTACACAAAAGTTATTCGTATCAAGAAAGATGATTGTTTTGATACAAAGGAAGACTTGAAGATAGCTTTGTATACGAAATGTGTGGAAGATGTCTATCAACTAAGAGTTAACAAATCAAGCAAAGATCGTTTCGAAACAAGGTGTATGATTGACAAAAACTGTACGTGGCGCATGATTGCTAAGAGGATAAAATATTGCGAAATGTTTCAAGTTAGGACTTTTATTGATAAACATACATGTTCAAGAACCCAAGTTTTTCCTCACCATAGACAGGCAAACAAAAAGGTGTTGGGTGGTTTTCTGGCTGAGTTAATGTTTTTGAATAGAAGGGTATATCGGGGACATGAAATTATGACTGACATGAATGCTCGGTTCAAGATTAGTATCTCATATTCTCAAGCTTGGAGAGCCAAATGTTATGCCTTGGAATTGTTGAGGGGGTCGCCAGAAGCATCGTTTGCCCATCTGTCGGCTTATTGTCACAATTTAAAGCTGAAAAATCCTGGGTCGGTAACTCATATCAAAACATATAGAGATGGACGCTTTGAGTTGCTGTTTATCGCCATTGGTGATGCGGTTAGTAAATAATTATAATTTTGTTGACTCATTTTTGTTAGTTGCATGCATTTCACATCTAAATGATTATATTTCTTGTGTATATGATTTTGTAGATTCGTTCATTTATTACTTGCATGCGCCCAGTTATTATAGTTGATGGAGCACATTTGAAAGGTCGATACCTTGGAGTAAACTTATTAGCAGTAGCCATGGATGCTAACAATGGGATACTACCAATAGCTTACGAGGTTGGAAAATCTGAAACCTCTTATTCATGGACATGGTTTATGGGGCATCTTAGGGATTGCATAGGTCCTATTAACAATCTGACAATCAGATCCGATAGGGCAAACTCAATTGACAACGCTGTTAGAAGGTGTTTCCCAGATGCTTTTCATGGACTTTGTGGTGTTCATTTGTATAGAAATCTAAAATTAAGGTCTACTGTTATAAAAATAACAAATTGACATACTGTAAGGTTGTAAAAGCTTATCGGGAAATGGATTTTAATAAGCATATAAATTGTTTAAAACGTGTTTTGCCTCAATGTGCTCAAATACTAGAAGATGTTGGGTTTGAAAGATGGTCAAGAGTACATCAACTTGGAGCAAGATATGATTTCATGACGTCTAATAGTGTAGAATCAACCAATGCTCTAAGTCGTCATTCCCGGAAATTACCCATTACTATGTTAATGGAGTTTTTTTGAGCCTCTATTCAACAGTGGTACTACAAGAAAAGAAACCATGCAGGTATTATTTCTTTAAATTCGTAACTTATCATATATTTTACTAAGTATTATTTATTTAAATTTACATGAACATTGGAACGTCGTGTTACACCATAGACTGAAAAAAAGATAACGAAACGTGTTGTGAAGTCAACGTCCTGGAGAGTTTAACCATGTTCAAACACTTTGTTTGAAGTATTGGATAATAATTTAAATGTGCTTGTTGATCTAAATGCAAAGACGTGTAGTTGTAAGAA